CCCCAAAACCCCAAAACCCCAAAACCCCAAAACCCCATTTGAACATGATTTCAAAAAGTGACACAAAAATAGAAATAATTTTGAAGGGTTTTATAATAGGAGTGATTATTTTAATTCATCTTCAATTTTATCAATTCTAATCTTAACTTCGCTTTACAGTTAAATTGCTAAATTTATTGAACAGATTAGATTTTTCGCGCTGTGAATTCCTTTTCATTTACTAATAACCACCATAGTTTATTAAGGATTTTATTCCTTCCCTATTTTATCATTAGAGATTATTGCTGCTCATTTGTAAGCTGGTGTTTTATTAACTTGTGCGTCACTACTCGTGCCATTGACATTTCCTGCAGCTCCACTGGCTATTTTCTTTTTTAATACTGAGTCAACATCCTTTTAATTTACAACTTTACCCATTACATCATACTGAATTTCATATCTCGATCCTTTTTGTCCAAATATTTTAAATCCGTATATTGTTGGGATATATGTTACAGGGCCTTCCTTAGGATACAACTCAGGGTAGGACTATTGAAACTGATTAAAAATATTGATAGTTTTTACCTTGAGAAGAACATGAGAGAAACTTGTTCCAAAATAGGCGCCATCAATATCTAAATTCTTTTGTCTTGGCACATATACTTCTTGGCACCTTGGACAGTAAGTCTACATCAAATTTTATTAATCAGATTCAAAGGAGAGTATAATAAATGCTTACCTTAACTCTACTAGTAGACAACTCCTCAGATAGACCTATTGGAAGTACTAGTTACCTTTCACAGAGCACTCTTTGGCAACTTCCAAAAGTTCCGAGCAAATACTTTTCCCTCATCATTGCTAAACCTCTAGGTGATAAAATAAAGCGAGAGTGTATAAGCCCATATAGATCCATCGCACACTGATATATCTCTAAGAACCTATTTTGAAAATTTTTTAAGAGTGTTAGTTTAACCTACCCTTAGTCATTCAAGTCCTCAGAGTCTGGGCTTTCGCTGCTAAGTATCATTTTCATGGCCTCACTATTAATGAAAATTGGAATGATTATCATACTTGTATTTGGGGATTCTCTCTTTTAATCCATATAAATTAAAACTGTCTTTAATGTAATCAACATCAACCTTAAGCAACAAAATAAAAATAAAATATAGATACCTCTACGAAAAACTCATGACCCTCTAAATCACAGAACCAAGAGATCCAACCGCCATCACTACTACTCTCAGAGTCGTACATTTTTAATAATCTTTATTATATATTATTTTGAAATTTAGAAATTAATCTCAAATTAGTCTATATTATCAAAATGCCATAATCTATCACTTTGGGGTTTTGGGGTTTTGGGGTTTTGGGG